TTCTGTCTGGCTTCAGTTTTAGTTCAGGCTCTGGTTCAGGCTCTGGTTCAGGCTCTGGTTCGGTCCTGGTTCAGTCCAACTCGTGAACCATGTCCTTTAAGTCTCTTTTTTGAGGCGACACGTTTTTGGATGTTTTTCATGGACCTCGGCAGAAAGAAGGAGATTTAGTTTGAGAAGGTTTGTGTCTGTGCTCAACATTTTACACCAAATAAATTCATATTTGTCATTATGTCTTGGGGCAGAAGGTTTAGTCCTGGCTCAGTCCTGGTTCAGTCCTGGTTCAGTATGGATTTGGGAGTGCCACTTTGAGGGGAACAGGAGAGAGGCGTGTCAATAAAACCTGTTTCCGCTAAAATATGTGGGAGAGTCCTGGATTCAGCCTCTGTCCTGGTTCAGTCTCAGGTCAATCCTGGTTCAGTCCTAGTTCAGTCCTGGTTCAAGTCTTGCTTCCTGGGTGTCTCTCTGGTCTCTCTCTGGTCTCTCTCTGGTCTCTCTCTGGTCTCTCTCTGGTCTCTCTCTGGTCTCTCTCTGGTCTCTCTCTGGTCTCTCTCTGGTCTCTCTCTGTTCTCTCTCTGTTCTCTCTCTGGTCTCTCTCTGGTCTCTCTCTCTCTGGTCTCTCTCTGGTCTCTGGTCGCTCTCTGGACTCTCTGAACTCTTTGGTCTCTCTCTGGACTCTCTGGTCTCTTTGGTCTCTCTCTGGTCTCTCTCTGGACTCTCTGGTCTCTCTCTGGTCTCTGGCCTCTCTCTGGTCTCTCTCTGGTCTCTCTCTGGTCTCTCTGGTCTCTCTCTGGTCTCTCTCTGGACTCTCTGGTCTCTCTCTGGTCTCTGGTCTCTCTCTGGTCTCTCTCTGTTCTCTCTCTGGTCTCTCTCTGGTCTCTCTCTGGTCTCTCTCTGGTCTCTCTCTGGTCTCTCTCTGGTCTCTCTCTGTTCTCTCTCTGGTCTCTCTCTGGTCTCTCTCTGTTCTCTCTCTGGTCTCTCTCTGTTCTCTCTCTGGTCTCTCTCTGGTCTCTCTCTGGTCTCTCTCTCTGGTCTCTCTCTGGTCTCTCTCTGGTCTCTCTCTGGTCTCTCTGGTCTCTCTGGTCTCTCTCTGGTCTCTCTGGTCTCTCTGGTCTCTCTCTCTGGTCTCTCTCTGGTCTCTCTCTGGTCTCTCTCTGGTCTCTCTCTGGTCTCTCTCTGGTCTCTCTCTCTGGTCTCTCTCTGGTCTCTCTCTGATCTCTCTCTCTGGTCTCTCTCTGGTCTCTCTCTGGTCTCTCTCTGGTCTCTCTCTGGTCTCTCTCTGGTCTCTCTCTGGTCTCTCTCTGGTCTCTCTCTCTGGTCTCTCTCTGGTCTTTCTGGTCTCTCTCTGGTCTCTCTGGTCTCTCTCTTTGGTCTCTCTCTGGTTTCTCTCTGGTCTCTCTCTGGTCTCTCTCTGGTCTCTCTCTGGTCTCTCTGGTCTCTCTCTGGTCTCACAGTTGTTGGAGGAGGTTTGATGTTTGAGCTGAAAGAACTCACCTGGTTGTTTGCGTTCACAGATGTTTCGGAAAAAGGCCTCGTCGTCTCTGAGAATGAGAAGAATCACAGAAAGCGCCAGATGTAAAGAAACGTGTTGTTTTTCCCACACTCAAAACCAACGGAACTAACCGCCTTTAAACGCTCAAACTGCTATGGTCTCTCACTCTCTGGTCTCTCTGGTCTCTCCCTCTCTGGTCTCTCTCTCTGGTCTCTCTCTCTGGTCTCTCTCTCTCTGGTCTCTCGCTCTCTGGTCTCTCCCTCTCTGGTCTCTCTCTCTGGTCTCTCCCTCTCTGGTCTCTCTCTCTGGTCTCTCCCTCTCTGGTCTCTCTCTCTGGTCTCTCCCTCTCTGGTCTCTCTCTCTGGTCTCTCCCTCTCTGGTCTCTCCCTCTCTGGTCTCTCCCTCTCTGGTCTCTCCCTCTCTGGTCTCTCCCTCTCTGGTCTCTGGTCTCTCTCTCTGGTCTCTCTCTCTGGTCTCTCTCTCTCTGGTCTCTCTCTCTCTGGTCTCTCACTCTCTGGTCTCTCCCTCTCTTCTCTCTCTGGTCTCTCTCTCTGGTCTCTCTCTCTCTGGTCTCTCTCTCTCTCTCTCTGGTCTCTCTCTCTCTGGTCTCTCTCTCTCTCTCTGGTCCCTCTCTTCTCTCTCTGGTCTCTCACTCTCTTCTCTCTTTGGTCTCTCTCTCTCTCTGGTCTCTCTCTCTGGTCTCTCTCTCTCTGGTCTCTCACTCTCTTCTCTCTCTGGTCTCTCACTCTCTTCTCTCTCTGGTCTCTCACTCTCTGGTCTCTCCCTCTCTGGTCTCTCTCTCTCTCTGGTCTCTCTCTCTCTCTGGTCTCTCTCTCTCTCTGGTCTCTCACTCTCTTCTCTCTCTGGTCTCTCGCTCTCTGGTCTCTCTCTCTCTCTGGTCTCTCTCTCTCTCTGGTCTCTCTCACTCTCTGGTCTCTCCCTCTCTTCTCTCTCTGGTCTCTCTCTCTCTGGTCTCTCCCTCTCTTCTCTCTCTGGTCTCTCTCTCTCTGGTCTCTCTCACTCTCTGGTCTCTCCCTCGCTTCTCTCTTTGGTCTCTCTCTCTCTGGTTTCTCTCTCTTTGGTCTCTCTGATTTGATCTCTATAGGAGGATCTTTGTTTACACCTGTGTGCGCCCCTCGCTGAGTGGCACAAAGTGAAGCATGGATGTGACTCAGCGGGCGAATAGCACTTTATATAAGCACTTTAACAATAGCACTTTATATAAGCACTTTAACAATAGCACTGTATATAAGCACTTTAACAATAGCTTTAACAACAGCACTGTATATAAGCACTTTAACAATAGCACTGTATATAAGCACTTTAACAATAGCACTGTATATAAGCACTTTAACAATAGCACTGTATATAAGCACTTTAACAATAGCACTGTATATAAGCACTTTAACAATAGCACTTTATATAAGCACTTTAACAATAGCACTGTATATAAGCACTTTAACAATAGCACTGTATATAAGCACTTTAACAATAGCACTGTATATAAGCACTTTAACAATAGCACTGTATATAAGCACTTTAACAATAGCACTGTATATAAGCACTTTAACAATAGCACTGTATATAAGCACTTTAACAATAGCACTGTATATAAGCACTTTAACAATAGCACTGTATATAAGCACTTTAACAATAGCACTGTATATAAGCACTTTAAAAATAGCACTGTATATAAGCACTTTAACAATAGCACTTTATATAAGCACTTTAACAATAGCACTGTATATAAGCACTTTAACAATACCACTTTATATAAGCACTTTAACAATAGCACTGTATATAAGCACTTTAAACAATAGCACTGTATATAAGCACTTTAACAATAGCACTGTGTATAAGCACTTTAACAATAGCACTGTATATAAGCACTTTAACAATAGCACTGTATATAAGCACTTTAACAATAGCACTGTATATAAGCACTTTAACAATAGCACTGTATATAAGCACTTTAACAATAGCACTATATTAGCACTTTAACAATAGCACTTTATATAAGGACTTTAAGGCAAGAAGATCAGAGGAGATATAAAGACAAGCTAAACCGAACTGAACCAGTCCAAAGCCCAGATGACCCTGGGATGACGAGAGAAACATTGGTCAGACTGTTTTGGCACCGATCTGCTGGGACTGGGACTCGGAGATATTTATTCTTACTTCATAGAAATCCCGGGACCCTTCACTCTAGAAGGGTCAGGTTAGGGAAAAGCATATTAAGTTGCCCTGTTTGCTGTTACTTACGGTCAAGGTGGAACAGGAAGCCGCGGGAAGAGCAACCAAAATGCAATGTTTAAAATGAATCATCATCATTCATGAATGAACAAGTGCGCAGTGAAAGTAGTTGTTTATGAATGTTTATCCCCTCATCCTCCCGGCTTCCTGTTCTACGGTTACCGTAGGTAACAGTATAAAAGGGCAACCACTTTACCGCAAGTCGTTTTTCACTGTTCTTTTCCGAAAGAATTAGAAAAAAAACTGAATCTGTCCCCAGCGGGCCGTACAACCGACCACACAACAGGAACGGACCATTTGATTTAGTAAAACCTCTCTCCAAACGTCTAAAACTAGCTAACTCTGTAGCATCCAGGTAGCTTCCTATGCTGTACTGCCCCTGGTCACGTGACCGAAGGAAAAACTATAAACAACGACATCACTCCAAGGTCCTCCTGTTCATTGGTTTGATCTTTGATCAAAACATTGAGCTCTGGTTTACACCATAGACTGTTTACAGCGCAACAATGCCAACATGGTGATGTCACACGGTGCTGATGTCACATGGTATATAGCGGCACGGTGGCTGAGTGGATAGCACTCTCGCCTCTCAGCAAGAAGGTCCTGGGTTCAAATCCCGGCCGGACCAGGGCCTTTCTGAGTGGAGTTTGCATGTTCTCCCCGTGTCTGCGTAGGTTTCCTCCGGGTACTCCGGTTTCCCCTACCACTAAAAATATGTACAATAGGATTGGCATGCGCCTCCTGTTCGGCGGCCCCGCTCCCATCTCTGTGTGGAGTGAGAGACAAATGCCCAAAAAATAACAATTGTAAACCGCTTTGAGACTCAGATCTGCAGTGAAAAGGCGGTATATAAATAAAGATTACTTACTTACTTATGGTGGTGATGTCACACAGTGGAGATGTCACACTGTGGTGATGTCACACTCTGTCCTCTCCTCAGATACAGTCTGATCACGTTTCTTGGCGCACACAGGAGGTCTGTGGTGGAAGCTGCTGAGACTGGGCCTTTCTTTCTTGTTTATAACCTGTTTTGGATTGTTCAGTGTGAGAAACTGTAAATATTTAAACCTTTTGCAACATATCACAGAATCAAATGGAGTACTCTCAGTATATGTTCAGAATGACAATAATATTGTGGCACAAATATGGCAGTTCTTTCAAACCCTCACATGTTGCCGGTCCCCAGCCTCGTCTCCGAGAGGGAGGGGCTTAGATCTTTTTGATAATAACTAATGTTTGAGTAAAAGCAGATACAAACATGTGTTTTTCTTCAGGGGCCGTGGATCGCGGCCGGAGTCTGTCTTTCCACGAGCGAAGTCACCGTGAGGCGGAGATGAGAGCCGCAGAAGAAGCTCAGAGCTCCGGAGGCAGCACCGTGCTACAGCGCCTCCTACAGGAGCAGATGAACCGCAACTACGTCCTGCAGCAGCAGCAGCAGCCGCCGCAGCAGCCGCAGCAGCAACAACAGCCAGGTGAGAAGGAGAGAAGGAAGACGTTTCATTACATTAGAGTTATTACTGTGGTGTGACATGTATCGATCTGCTTTTATGAAGTATCCATTCATTGTGTGCCATTGATGCATTAATACATTTATAACGTTTTTCACTATTTTCACTATTTTCCTGTTCCCTGATGTCCATTATATCAAAGCCCCGGCGATCCAAGATGGCGCCGTATTCAAATGAATGGTTTGTGCTCAGTGGCGCTTTGGGCCGACACGGGCGCTGACAGATTAAAGCGGAACTCTCAAAGATCTATGGGAAACTCGCCCATATTTGGGCATCGTCTGGTCCTCCCGGTTCTGTGCAGTGGATGATCTCCCATGATGCATTGCGCCAAACACGCGTGTGTGGGTCTCACACCGGGTCTCACGCACGTGCACAGAGGGGCTCGGCTCTGACCAATCAGAGCAGTTCATCAGAGCGGGAGTTAGAGCGAGAGCCAGAGGAGCAGAGTTTGTGGCACTAAAGTGTGGATTTAAACAAAACCGAAGGATTTAAGAAGAAAAAAAGTTCAGGACGACAAGAGACACTAACATCCACAAAATCTGACCTTTATGAAAGCTGTAGGTTCTCTGTCAAATTCTCTGTCAGGTTCTCTGTCAGGTCCTCTGTCAGGTTCTCTGTCAGGTTCTCTATCAGGTTCTCTGTCAAGTTCTCTGTCAGGTTCTCTGTCATGGTCTCTGTCAGGTTCTCTGCCAGGTTCTCTGTCAGGTTCTCTGTTAGGGTCTCTGTCAGGTTCTCTGTCAGGTTCTCTGTCAGGTTCTCTGCCAGGTTCTCTGTCATGGTCTCTGTCAGGTTCTCTGTCAGGTTCTCTGTCAGGTTCTCTGTCAGGTTTTCTGTCAGGTTCTCTGTCAGGTTCTCTGTCAAATTCTCTGTCAGGTTCTCTGTCAGGTTCTCTGTCAAATTCTCTGTCAGGTTCTCTGTCAGGTTCTCTGTCAGGTTTTCTGTCAAGTTCTCTGTCAGGTTCTCTGTCAGGTTCTCTATCAGGTTCTCTGTCAAGTTCTCTGTCAGGTTCTCTGTCATGGTCTCTGTCAGGTTCTCTGTTAGGGTCTCTGTCAGGTTCTCTGTCAGGTTCTCTGTCATGGTCTCTGTCAGGTTCTCTGTCATGGTCTCTGTCAGGTTCTCTGTTAGGGTCTCTGTCAGGTTCTCTGTCAAGTTCTCTGTCAGGTTCTCTGTCATGGTCTCTGTCAGGTTCTCTGTTAGGGTCTCCGTTCAGGTTATCTGCCAGGTTTTCTGTCAAGTTCTCTGTCAGGGTCTCTGTCAGGTTCTCTGCCAGGTTCTCTGTCAGGTTCTCTGTCAGGGTCTCTGTCAGGGTCTCTGTCAGGTTCTCTGTCAGGTTCTCTGTCAGGTTCTCTGTCAGGTTCTCTGTCAGGTTCTCTGTCAGGTTCTCTGTCAGGTTCTCTGTAGGTTCTCTGTCAGGTTCTCTGTCAGGTTTTCTGTCAAGTTCTCTGTCAGGTTCTCTGTCAGGTTCTCTATCAGGTTCTCTGTCAAGTTCTCTGTCAGGTTCTCTGTCATGGTCTCTGTCAGGTTCTCTGTTAGGGTCTCTTTCAGGTTCTCTGTCAGGTTCTCTGTCAGGTTCTCTGTCATGGTCTCTGTCAGGTTCTCTGTCATGGTCTCTGTCAGGTTCTCTGTTAGGGTCTCTGTCAGGTTCTCTGTCAAGTTCTCTGTCAGGTTCTCTGTCATGGTCTCTGTCAGGTTCTCTGTTAGGGTCTCTGTCAGGTTCTCTGTCAGGTTCTCTGCCAGGTTCTCTGTCATGGTCTCTGTCAGGTTCTCTGTCAAATTCTCTGTCAGGTTCTCTGTCAAGTTCTCTATCAGGTTCTCTGTCAGGTTTTCTGTCAAGTTCTCTGTCAGGTTCTCTGTCAGGTTCTCTATCAGGTTCTCTGTCAGGTTCTCTATCAGGTTCTCTGTCAAGTTCTCTGTCAGGTTCTCTGTCATGGTCTCTGTTAGGTTCTCTGTCAGGGTCTCTGTCAGGTTCTCTGTCAGGTTCTCTGCCAGGTTTTCTGTCAAGTTCTCTGTCAGGTTCTCTGTCAGGTTCTCTGTCAGGTTTTCTGTCAAGTTCTCTGTCAGGTTCTCTGTCAGGTTCTCTGTCAGGTTCTCTGTCAGGTTTTCTGTCAAATTCTCTGTCAGGTTCTCTGTCAGGTTCTCTGTCAGGTTTTCTGTCAAGTTCTCTGTCAGGTTCTCTGTCAGGTTCTCTATCAGGTTCTTTGTCAAGTTCTCTGTCAGGTTCTCTGTCATGGTCTCTGTCAGGTTCTCTGTCAGGGTCTCTGTCAGGTTCTCTGTCAGGTTCTCTGCCAGGTTCTCTGTCAGGTTCTCTGCCAGGTTCTCTGTCAGGTTCTCTGTCAAGTTCTCTGTCAGGGTCTCTGTCAGGTTCTCTGCCAGGTTCTCTGTCAGGTTCTCTGTCAGGGTCTCTGTCAGGTTCTCTGTCAGGTTCTCTGTCAGGTTCTCTGCCAGGTTCTCTGTCAGGTTCTCTGTCAGGTTCTCTGTCAAGTTCTCTGTCAGGTTCTCTGTAGGTTCTCTGTCAGGTTCTCTGTCAAGTTCTCTGTCAGGTTCTCTGTCAAGTTCTCTGTCAGGTTCTCTGTCAAGTTCTCTGTCAGGGTCTCTGTCAGGTTCTCTGTCAGGGTCTCTGTCAGGTTCTCTGTCAGGTTCTCTGTCAGGTTCTCTGTCAGGTTCTCTGTCAGGTTCTCTGTCAGGTTCTCTGTCAGGTTCTCTGTCAGGTTCTCTGTCAGGTTCTCTGTCAGGTTCTCTGTCAGCTGAGGTTCTCTGTCAGGTTCTCTGCAGGTTCTCTGCAGGCTTCTGTGTTCTCTGCAGGTTCTCTGTCAGGTTCTCAGTTCTGTCAGGTTTAGTCTGTCAGGTTCTCTGGTTCAGGTCTCTGTCAGCTGTTTGTAGGTGAGCATATGGGGAACATTTCTGTGTAGCCCTCGTGAATTTAGTCTGGTTCAGTCTGGTTCAGTCTGGTTCAGTCTGCAGTACCGCGAGAATCCCCTGAGCACATGAGTTATTCAGCTCCAAGCTGTAAAACCCTATCCAGTTATTACAATAGATCCATGATTATATCTAATATGTACGGGGATCAACTTTAGACCGTATTTTTGGAAACAGGATGCACTTGTTGCGCCTCCTTTTCTCAGCTTTTTGTCTGAGACGGAGATTTCAGTAAAACTTGTCTTTCTGTAGAACGTTCATATAGATTTTATTGGATGTAAGAATTACTTTGTTTTATAAAAAAGGTTAAAAGCCATTTCTGCTTGTTCACTTTAATGTTACACATGACATTTTATCCATTTATCTTGAAGAAAATTTTATTTTTTCACTTCATATTTTTCTTTTATGGCAAAAATTATCGTAGGTATAACCGCATCCTGAGTTCCCCCCCCTGAGGTTCCCACCCTGAGGTTCCCACCCTGAGGTGCCCACCCTGAGG